CCTTTTACTTTTGTGTTAACTGAAGATCTTTAAGCTGAAAGTGTCAAGATCTGCTTAATAGCATATCCTCTGTTGCAATATTAAAAATCATCAGGACACTTGGATCTCAGTGAAAAGTTTGATGGTTGAAGAATAATTAAAGTATTCAGTCCATAAGGAGGCCCGAAGCTCCCTACACACCTTGAATTTAATGCTAAGTAATCTACAAGTTTTGGAAAATGCTGCTTACTCTAGAAAAACTGACTAACCTTGATCTCGGTCAGCATATACTTGGTAGCATATACTTATATATCATTTATACTTGGTCAGCATATAGTTATATATCACTTATCAGTGGTCAGAAAGGGCAGAATACCCAAACTTATCCAACACAAAGATTCACAATTTAACCAATTGTTTCCCAGACACGAGGCTTACTAGATGTGAGCGTTGTAAACTTTTATTTAGCTCCAACTTAGAGAACTTTACATTTTCAGATATGTGTTGAAGATCCTACCAGATGCTTTCTTCTTCTTAGATAATAAACAGGAAAAGAAAACTTCCTCAAAAGGGGAACTTGACTCTTTTCACACACTGAAGACTTTGGAAGCTGGTGGCAATAACTTCATTTGCTCCTGCAAATTCCTCTCCTTCACTCAGGAGCAGCAAGCATTGACCCAAGTCCTGATTGATTGGCAAACTACCTGTGTGACTCTCCATCCCATATGCGTGGCCAGTGGGTTCAGGATGTCCACCTCTTGGTGTCGGAATGCCATAGGGTGGCACTGGTGTCTGGCATGTGCTGTGCCCTGTTCCTGCTGATCCTGCTCACGGTGGTTCTGTGCCACCATTTCCACGGTTCTCTGGTACTCTGGCCTGTGGTACATATTTTCATGTACTATCATGTACCATGATGTGAGCTTGGCTCCAGACCAAAAGGAAGCCCAGGAAAACTCCCAGCAGGGACATCTGCTATGACGCGTTTGTTTCTTACAGTGAGCGGGATGCCTACTGGGTGGAGAACCTTATGGTCCAGGAGCTGGAGAACTTCAACCCTTCCTTCAAGTTGTGTCTTGATAAGAGGGACTTCATTCCTGGCAAGTGGTTCATTGACAATATCATTGACGCCATTGAAAAGAGCCATGAAACTTTGTGCTTTCTGAAAACTTTGTGAAGAGTGAGTGGTGCAATGAACCACTCACTGGACTGGACTTCTCCCATTTCCGTCTTTTTGATGAGAACAACGATGCTGTCATTCTCATTCTTCTGGAGCTCACTGAGAAACCTTTAGTCCATCTGGGCCGCTATAGCAAAAACGTCAACAGACTGGGTAGTAGTAAACTTCTAAGTTAACATAGAACCAAATTTATAGTTTATAGATAACAGAAATTCATTTCTCACAGACCTCCTGCAGATTTGGTATCTGGTGAGGAACTCTTCCTGGCTCAAAGAAAGCTGTCTTCTCACTGTGTTCTTACATGGTGGAAGGGGTGAGGGAACTCTCTGAAGTTTCTTTTGTAAGGGAATTAATCCCATTCATGAAGCCTCTGCCCTTATGACCTAATCACCGACCAAAGGGCCCACCTCCAATACCGCCACATTGGGGGTTAGGATTTCAACAGGTGCATTTCAGGAGGACACAAGCCTTCAGTCTATGGCTAGGATCATTCTCCAGCACTTCTGTTAAGCTGCAGAAGATAATTAACACCTAGACCTGCCTGGAGTGGCCCACTAATGAGGCTCAGCAGGAAGGGTTTTAGTTAAAGAAAAATTCTAGTTTTTCAAAAGGGAAGTATATACAACATGAAATATTCTCGGTTTTCAGAATTTGGTTCTATGTTAACTTAGAGGTTTACTACTAGAATGGCTGCGGTGACTTATGCCTATAATCCCAGCACTTTGGGAGGCCAGATCATGAGGTCAGGAGTTCCAGACCAGCCTTACCAACATGGCGAAACCCTGACTTTACTAAAAATACAAAAACTAGCCAGGCATGGTGGCACACACCTGTAATCCCAGCTACTCAGGAGGCTGAGGTGGGAGAATTGCTTGAACCCCAGAAGCAGAGGTTGCAGTGAGCTGAAATTGCACTACAGCCTGGGTGACAGAGCAAGATTCTGTCTCAAAAAAAGAAAAAAATGTTTACTACTATTATTTTGCCTAGGCAGTATTTTTGAAATGTCTTTAAAAATTACAGACACATTGACATCTGTTCAGAATAAAAAATCTTGAAAAATATATGTTCATGTATAAAAATCTGTAAAATAATACAGGAATTATGGCATATATTCATTAAGTAGTTTATGATGGATGAATTTCTTATTATTTTATTTGAGAATTACAAAATACTTTACGTGAAAACGACATAAGACTGTGTGTTTTGTTTTGTTTTTTGAAATAGGGTCACACTCTTATCTCTCAGCCTCAACCCCCTGGACTCAGCCTCCTGAGTAGCTGGAACTACAGGCACAAACCACCATGCCTGGTTAACTTTTGAATTTTTGTAGAGATGGGGTCTCCCTATTTTCTTAGGCTGGTCTCAAACTCCTGGACTCAAGCAATCCTCCTGCCTTGGGCTCCCAAAGTGCTGGGATTACAGGTGTGAACCATGTCAGCCCTGTGTTTTCGGATAACTTCAGTTTAGGATTTCAGTTAGATGTTCAAAACTATGAATATATACAATAAGAGTTACCCTTTCCCCAAAAATATTAATGTATTTTATATGCCATGTTGATTTTCTAATTAACATTTTTTTTTTTTGGTAGAGAGTTTAAGAGTCTTATATCTAGATACAGAAGGAGACTTGGAGTCTAACCTGGGATTTGCCACATATTAACTGTGAGCCATGTGACTCAGGGCAAATTCTCTAATCACTTTAACCAAAGGAATAGTAATATTGGAATTATTTATTGCATGTGTTATTGTGAGATTCAGATGAAATAATAGATGTGAAGTTGCTTTGAAAATGTCAAGAACTTGGCCACGTGCTGTGGCTCACACCTATAATCCCAGCACTTTGAGGGTCTAGGTGGGTGGATCACTTGAGGACAGGAGTTCGAGACCAGTCTGGTCAACATGGTGAAACCCCATCTCTACTAAAAATACAAAAATTAGCCAGATGTGATGGTGCGTGCCTGTAATTCCAGCTACTCGGGAGGCTGAGGCAGAGACTTGCTTGAACCTGGGAGGCAGAGGCTGCAGTGAGCTGAGATCATGACACTGCACTCCAGAGTGAGACTCCATCTCAGAAAAAAAAAATGTCAAGAACTGAACAACTATAAGGACTGTGTCTGAGTAGAACGTGCTAATAGCTTTGTGGAGAGTGCGGAACTACCTTCAATATATGTAGAGGACACTGGTAATAATTTGTGGGCAAATAAAGGATTTCTACCTGACTGTCAGAATATTCTAATTGACTTTGGGAATATAGAGCAATAGCATCAAAATCCATCTTAGGCACTTCAACTAGGGAAGAGAAATAGAGAAAAAACAAGTTTTTAGTTTCAGGAGAAATAATTTGAAGGAAGTTTTCTTGTGTCAGAAATTGTAAGGTAGAGAGCTGGAGATTTGGAATTAATAAGAAAGTATTTTCAGCCAGCTGGACAACCTGGATAAAGAAACATAGTAACACAGTGACCTGTATAGAAAAACCTCTCAATTTCATATTTGTGTCTATTGATTAAGTTTCCCTGATATTCCATCCATCAGAGAGGATTAAAGATGTGGAACACGGTAGGAGAAACAGCCCTGGATTTAGGGTAAAATTCTGGTTTGAAATCTCATTTCTGTCATATATAATACAATTCGTATGACATTTTCTTGTATAAGGGAGGAACAAGGATGCTTGCTCTGCTTCATATTTCACTGTATGAAAGTCAAATGTAACTATGAATATAAAGGGTAGATTATTAATATCAAGGCAGTTGAATTGTAAAAGCTTGTTTTCTTTCTTTATACATTCCTCACCGTGGAGACAGCTAGGTTCTGTGGCAATGAAGAAAATTAATCAATGACTGTTTTTGGTATTACTTTGAGAAGCAGGGATGAAATGGGGCAAGGAAAGAACTTAGCTTCAAACTGTAGATTTAAGTGGGAAGCCCAGATCTTTTCATGTTGAGAACTGGGATGGAATGTAGGTGCTAGAGATGGCGCAGCAGTATGGACTGTCACAGGATTGGGGTTAAAAAAGTCCAGGGCTGGCCGGCATGGTGGCTCCCGCCTGTAATCCTAGCACTTTGGGAGGCCCAGGAGGGCGGAGCACGAGGTCAAGAGATCAAGACCATCCTGGCCAACATGGTGAAACCCCCGTCTCTACTAAAAATACAAAAATTAGCCGGGCGTGGTGGCATGCACCTGTAGTCCCAGCTACTTGGGAGACCAACGCAGGAGAATCGCTTGAACCCGGGAGGGGGAGGTTGCAGTGAACGGAGATCGCACCACTGCACTCCAGCCTGGCGACAGAGCGGTACTCCGTCTCAAAAATCAATCAATCAATCAATCCGAGGCTGTCCTTATCTGTTCCCTTAGGCAAACTTTTGGCAAAATCGTTCTATGTTAGTCTGGAGGATGACTGGTGAACCTATTTAAATGCAGGAGAGCATAGACTTGTGGAAGTGGACCCTGGAGATGTACTGGCAGGTGAACAGAGTGTTGAAAGGAGAAGCGTGATTCATGAGCGTGAGTTCGGGCTTCCACGGATGGAGAAGCATCAGCAGCGGAGTTTAAAGGCGGTGTGTTTCAGGTGATGTGAGATTCTGGATGCTGGAAGCTTCAAGAAAATACTGGTGGGCACTTAGCCTTCCCTGTGGTTGCCAATCCCACGCGGGGCGCCTCTAGCGTCGTAATTCGCTTTTCCCCGACCAGGAACCTCCGCCAAGCCCCCAGTTCTCTCCTTCGACCCAGCCTGGCCCGGGGCAGCGGTCCGGGCAGGACCCGCCTCCGGCCTGACGCAGCCTCATTCGCGGTCACCGGCGGGAGCGTGCCGGGGGGTGCGGCCGCGGGGGCTCGCTCTGGGCCACCCCCATGGAGTGCGGCGCGAGGTCCAGTGTTTCCTCCCGCTGCGGGGCGGCGCGTGCCCAGTGGAAGGGGCGGTTCCCGGACCACAGGAAGGGGAGCCAGGTCGCGCGGACTTTCCCTTTTGCCTACTTCCCAGTCTCGGGCAGGCGGGCTCGGAGGTGGCGAGAAAGCGCAGCCTGGCTGCGGCTCGGGGTCGTCCCAGGTACGTCGTGCGCGCCCCTTCCCGGGGTCGGGTCGGGTAGGGTCGGACGGGAGCTGCAGTCCGGTCACGGGCTCCGGGGACCCCGGGCTCCTGCTCGGCTGCACCTGGGCCCCTCGCTCCTGTCTGGGAGGGGACGGCGGGGAGCGCACCAGGCCCCCGGGACGCCAGTGCTTCTCTGCGGGGCCTGGCGCGTGAATGTGGACGCCAGCGAAACCAGCTCTGGTCGGCCCTCTGGAGAAGCAGGGGCCACACGGAAAGGGAGTTCGCGGGTCCTGGGGATCCCATGGTGGGACCCCACGCGCACAGTGCCAATGGGCTGTGGCTGGGCCGAGCGCCCTTCCAGTCTTGCTGGTCACCGCGGGAAGTTTCCGCTGGGGCTCCGGGCCGCCGGCTGCCACTTCACTCCGGAGGGAGGCCCAGGTGGGCGGTGGCCCCGGCGCGGCCCTGCCCTCCCGCTTCGCTCATTCCTGCTAGGGTCACTTTCCCCGCCTCCTGGGCCCTCTTGGCTCGGAGCGTGGGTGACTAGGATTGGGTAAAGGCTTTAGGGAGCCAGTGAAGTTGAATGCTAGCGTCTCGTAGCTAGCATTCAATGTGTCCCCGCTCGCTGGTTACTGCCAGGACGGAGCTTGGGTTTCGGTCACTGTGGCCCAGAGATGGGAAAGGTTGCGTGCTCTGGGTCTGTCCAGGACCCTGGCTCCCTAACCCGAAGTTTGGTCTCTCCTCCCTGGCAGGTTTCACCCCACCTCTGCGTTCCTTCATTCTTAGGATATGTGAGTTAGGTCTCTGAATAGAAAACAACTTACAGCGTTTAAGCAAAGTCGAGTTCTTTAAGTGCTTTGAAGTGCCCTTTACAGCTTCTTCAATTTCCATAAATAAGAACTTGTGTTTAGAACTTAAATGTAAGCCAGGAAAGGCTTTTTCTCCTGTTTGAAAGAGAGGAAAAGAGAGGAAGAGGTGATTGGAGGTGATGGATGGGGGGAGAGAAAGAGGAGGGTAATTGTTCTGGGTGTAAACAAGTCAGTCTGCTGAGATGATTTTAATCTATTGTGTTATTAAGATTTTTTACCAAAGAGTAACCGGTAGATAGGGTGGCCTGACTTGAAGGGACAGACAGAAACAAACAAACAAATCCACAAAAACAAAACAACAAAAGCAAGAGCAGAAACTATTGGAAAATGATTTATTCACCAACATTTTAAAGTTTCTTCCTTTTCTAAGCAAAAAACATTTGCATCTTTAAGTTCTTTATAATGTACTCATTTTACAAAAACTGCCAGAAGTTGATAGCATGTTTTGGGAGTTTGTAAGCTATCAGTTAATTTTTTGTTTGTACAATTGTATTGAAACTAACAGAGGAGAAAAAAAATCTAATGGAATACCCCCAAATTTAAAAGAAGGCAAGAAAAGAGAGACAATAGAACATAAAACAAATGGGACAAGAATAAAGTACATAGTTGTCATAGTCTCTTTTGTGCTGCCGTAATAAATATCTGAGACTGGGTAATTTACAAAGAACAGAAATTTCTCGACTCATTGTTCTGGAGCCTGTGAAGTCCAAGATTGAAGGGCTGCATCTGGTGAGGGTCCTCTGGCTACATTCTGACATGATGGAAGGCATCACATGGTGAGAGAGAGCAAGAGAGGACAAAGCTTACTTTTATAACAAACTCATTCTCGCAGTAACCTGCTCCATTGGTAATCACATTAATCCATGTATGAGGGTAGAGCCTTCATGACCTAATCACCTCCTAATCCCACCTCTCAACACTGTTGCACTGAAGATGAAATTTCCAATTCATGAGCTTTGGGGCACACATTCAAACCATAGCAACAGTTCAATTACTTTAAAGCCCACAATATGAGTAATTATATCAAATGCAGCTTAATACATTAGTAATTAAATGAGAAAAACTAAATTTTTTATGATAATCAGACTAATATTGTCAGACTAGACTTCAAAACAATCCAACAATCAATCATATACTGTTTACAAGAGACACATTTATGGATACTAAAAGGAATAAAGTAAACAGATGCAACCATTTATCAAAAGAAAGCTGTTGTGGCAATATTACTATTAGACAAAATAGAATAAGGCAAAAAAAATCATAACTGTAGATAAATGTTTCACTAGGTTAAAGTTTTCACTGAGAAGAGATAAAAATTCTGAATTTCTAAGTACCTGTAACACAACATTAAGAAACTAGAAAATAGAAAAAGAATAGAGCCAAATTGACAGAACTAGAAAAATATAGAAAAATAGAAAATTCATAGAAAAATCCACAATCATAGTGGGAGATTTTATCATATGCCTCTCAGTAGTGATAGAAAAAACAGACAAAAGATCAGTAAGGATAAAGACAATGTGAACACCACAGTGCAGTTGACATAAGGAACCTATAATGTTTCTAACAGCTGCTGAAATCACAGAACATACTTAAAATCTGACCACATACTGGCTGGGCCCTGTTGCTCAAGCCTGTAATTCCAGCGCTATGGGAGGCCGAGAGGGGCAGATCATGAGTTCAAGAGATCAAGGCCGCCTTTGCCAACATGGTGAAACCCCATCCCTACTAAAAAAAAAAAAAAAAAAAAAAAAGTGACCATATACTGGCTCATAAACTGCAATACATCTTAAAGAATTTAAATCATACAGAATATGTCTTCTGACCATAAGGCAATTAAAGTAGAAGGGAACAGAAAAACTTATAGAAAATTCCCATATATTTGGAAATGAATGAATACATTTTTAAATAACCCACGGGTCAAAAAATAGAATGAAATCAGAAAATGTTTTTAATGAATTATGGAAAAAATTACATATAAAAACTTGTCAGATGCACCTAAACTGCTTAAAGGAAGATTTATAACCTTAAGTGCATATATTAGAAATGAAGAGTGACTAAAAATGAATGAGCAAGCAGACACCTCAAAAATTAGAAAAGGAGTAGTAAAATAAATCCAGAGAAAGCAGAACAGGGGAAATAATAATATAAGAATAGAAATTAATGAACTAGAAAATAGAGGATCTATCACATTGGAAGTTGGTTTTTTGAAAATGCAAATAAAATGACAAACCTCTGGCAAGACATTAAAAGAAAGCAGGTACAAAGAACTCATCTAAGGAATAAAACTGAGGACCTCTCTTGTTAAATGACATAGGCAAGAGGCCATTATCCTGAGACTGTCTCTATACTTCGAGTTCTTAAAAAATAAACTGCAACTTAACTTAGTACAATGCATAAACAAAGTGAAATCTTAATTAGGAGTCTTTTTTTGTAATTAATAGCCAAGTTTCCACCAATCATAAATAGCCAAGCTTTAGCCAATCACAAGCAGCCAACTGATCAGACTATGCCCAAACAGGGCAAATGCCTATTACACCATGCCCAAATAAGGCGGACTACTAGCTGACGCTAATCAGGTGATTACTGTGCCTCTTGTGTTTGGCCTATAAAAGCTCACTGCTCACACTGCTGGGTGGAGCTCTCTGAGACTTTTGTGAGTCTGAGTGCTGCCTGATTCATGAATAATTTTTTGCTAAAATAAACTCTGTCAAATTTAATTTGTCTGAAGTTTCTCTTTTAACAGTTTTTGGTGTTACAAGCGGGATCCAAAGGAGACCTGTAGTGACCTTAGGAGCTCTTAGTGACCAAGTGAAGGCACCTGTGGGGCTCATTGTGCCCATTGCTCTTTCACTGCAACTGATAGTTGTGGTTAAGTTCTTGCTCAGATTTGAGCCCATACATTTGCATTTTCAGCTCTCTGACTTTATTTGAGCAATTTTTTGACTGGATTGGCTCCAGAATTGGATTGGATTCAAAGAAGAAACTGAAACTGGATTGGTGCACTAGGAGGCCTCCAGCAGATAACATTACTAGAAGAGAGGGAATCATGGGCTTATCTGGATTTAAGGAGTGTACAACTCCAGCCGATTTCATTTATAAGAATAATGGACAAAGAACCTGTGCTTTTATAGAGAAATGTGTGAGCCTTATTAAAGATAACTTGGAATTACAGTGGACAAAGAAGAAAAGCCCCTTAAGGCAAACAGGCACATATTTTGCAACAGGCATACAATGCATACTAATAACATCACGGTAAAAGGGGTATCCATTACCTCAAGCATTTATCCTTTCTTTGTGTTATAAACAATCCGATTAAACTCTTTTAGTTATAAAATATACAATAACTTATTGCTGACTGTAGTCCCCCTGCTTTGCTATCAAATAATAAATCTTATACACTCTATCTAACTGTATTTGTGTACCCATTAACCATTCCAATCCCCCTGGACCTACAACTACACTTCCCAGCCTCTGATAACCATCATTCTACTCTCTCGCTCCATGAGTTCAGTTGTCTTAATTTGTAAGTGAAAACATGGGATGTTTGTCTTTCTGTGCCTGCTGTATTTCACTTAACATAATGTCCTCCAGTTCCATCCATGTTGTATGACAGGATCTCATTCTTTCTTATGGCTGAATAGTACCCCATTGTATATGTATATCACATTTTCTTTATCCATTCATCTGTAGATGGACACTTGGGTTCCTTCTAAATCTTGGCTACTGTGAATAGTGCAGCACTAAACATGGGAGTGCAGATATCTCCTTGATAGATTGATTTCCTTTCTTTTGGGTATATACCTACCAGTAGGATTACTGGATCATGTGGTAGCACTGTTATTAGTTCTTTGAGGAACCTCCAAATTGTTCTCGATAGTGGTTGTACTAATTTACATTCCCACCAACAGTGTACAAGGGTTCCCTTTTATCCATATCCTCGCAGCATTTTTATTGCCCGTCTTTTGGATAAAAGCCATTTTAACTGGGGTGAAATGATATCTCACTGTAGTTTTGATTAGCATTTCTCTGATGATCAATGATGTTGAGCACATTTTCATATACCTGTTTGCCATTTGTGTGCCTTCTTTTGAGAAATGTCTGTTTAGATCTTTTGCCCATTTAAAAAATTGGATTATTAGATTTTTTCCTATT